AGAAAAAAAAAAAGGGGGGGGGGGGGGAAGAAAAAATCACTGGTTTAAATTCCCCAAACCAACTGCTTCCAGCCAGCCAGGCACAGTGTAGATGGCACTCTCAAACACTCAAAACCATTGTAACTCTGCCTGAGACAAGAGAACTGGACCCAACTGCACGGGGTTTGATTCAGCAAATTAAAACTTCTTTTGGTGCTTATTCCATTTCTTAACATGCAAATTTTCTCTGGCTCATAATGCTAGATTCATTTAATTATTCATGTGAATGATGGCAGCTTGATGTTTGTTACTTGGACAGCAGGTGCAATCAGGTAGACAAGCCCTAATTAAATCACAGTCTCTAGTCCATCAAGGTAGCTTTTTAAAAATCACATAAAAACATATTGCTACGATTTATAATTAAATGTGCTGATTTTTACAACGCTAAAGGACAAGTCAAATACCTCCATCCTCTTAATCCCACCAACACCACGACCTCCATAATAAGATGCGTCCACGGTTGGCCACTTTTTCTTTGGCAATCCATCTTCATCATCTGATTCCTATGGGAAAGACAGGGAGATATTACTGCCGTTCTCACATAAACAGCATAAACTATGGAAAACAACTGAACATCCTATGGTCCAATCCTTGGATATTTGGCTTTATGTGTTATACTCATTTGCTGACAAAAAACAAAAGTCTCTTGTCTCTGCAGCTGCAATTTTAACTAGGGAAGCCAAAGAGGATTGCCTATTCTTCTCTCCAGGCAGCTTTTATTTAGTCAAATATGCATTGAGCTTCAAAATCACAACTGACTTGTAAGGGAAGGCAAAGTGGAGATGAATCGTACATTATACTGGCTTGCCACTATGCCATGCAGAAAACGCAGCAATCAGCCCAAAGAAATAATTTATTAATTGCGCTTTTAGAACTTAATGTCACCTAACAGGGGAAAAAAGCTACCACTGTGAGTTTTCTAACATGTGCATCAGACCCTTTTCTCATGGCAGCTGTAACCAGTTATTCTACGCTGCTTGATTCTTTGTAGAGTCTGGCTCAAGCTGTACAGTTTGGAACCAGGACTCAGACTGGAGCATCTCCAGATTATCAGGAAGCCTAGATCCAGAGTTTTTGACCTGCAATTATAAAGACTGCAGATTATTTTTCTGGAATGTGGGAGAGTCTGAATCAGGGTTTTACTTCAGGTTCCTTGTTCTGTTCTTGCTTAACTAAAAGCTGGCAAATGTTTCTGGTTCGACAACACTGGGAACACATCTCCAGCTCTATCATCTTGAGCCGATAGAAGTCACTGGGATTTCTCGGACTCCCTATCATTACGCTGAGTCGAGGCAGCTGAAAGTCACACCATGACACTCTCCAAGTACACACATAACTGAGGAAAGGGCCCAACAAGCCTCCTACAAGACCATCTTCATTCCTCACACTCTTTAATAAAGACACAAAACTACACCTCATGCCGATATGCAGATGCACGTGCTGCTCTGCACAGTGACTGACCATGCACAGTGCTCTCTGCTGATTTTCATCTGTACAAGTATGTTTCTAGAAACACTGCCTGGACTTAGTTTTTACTAGAAAAAAAATATAATCAAGTGAAATCCAAAAACTAGGGAATGACACAAATTATTGTCAGATTACTAGGTGACATTTTCTCAAAGTTGCCCTACATGTTTCTATTGGAATGTAAAAGGAACTGAGAGTCCAAAAGCCAGTAATAGCTTTTAAAAAACATGCCTTAATTTTTGTTTGTGCCTTGGAGAAAGGTATTCCCATCAGTTATTCAGTGACATCTGATCTCTCAGCTATGGTTCATGGGTCAGTTCCTCCAACAAATTCTTTAGTATGTCCAGGCAAGACTAGAGTTGACATTTCCATTAACTAGTAAGGGGGTTTGGGCTTGATTTTTTTTTGTTTTGGTTTGGTTTTTTGGTTGGGGTTTTTTGGTTGGGGTTTTGTTTTTATCCTAAGGGAAATAAATATACAAGGAAGGCACTGTGGTTTAGTGTTGGGTTTTGTTGTTTTGGTTTGGGCTGTTTTTGTTTGGTTTTTTTGAAGAGTATAACAAATACACACACAAATTTTATCCCATTTCATGCCATATTTAAAACAGTACTCAGTGAACTACATCAGCAGTTTTAATTCATTTATATTTGACTTCATTGTGAACTTGAGCACTATATAAAATATCCTGCCTCTTCCATGGGATTTCAAGTCTTCATGTCTAACAACCCTTATTGCTGGCAAGCCTGACAGCAGCAGGTCACAGTTAATAGTGATGGCTGATACTTGGTATAAATCCTTTATCAGCTGGAAAAGTATCTCCTACACTGAACACATAGCAAAGCCAACATCAACAGCTACTACAAACATTTTGAAAAGTAATGGAAATCTAATGCTAGCAGTTTAGAACAAGTTTCACATAACTGTATTCAGTTTAATAGCAGCAATACCAGACTACGTCAGCTAAAGGGCAGGTCACCATACCTAGGGAGGCTAGTGCTAAGTACAACGAAACAACAATCCATACTGGATAAAGACAAGTCCAAGTAAAGGGATGGATAACATCTGTATTCTGTGCTATTCCTGGAGGCTTACGTCAGCTCACAGTCCCTTTGATTGCATTTAAAATCTCTGCCGATCAGAATAATCGCAAAGCATCTGGGAACTCTGCTGCAGGGGCGTGATGCTCTCCGAAGCCTCCTTCAAACGCAGCATGGCTGCAATTGCATGCTTCATGACAACACTAATCACCCTAAAACCAGCATGATTTTTGGTGCATATTCTAAAGTTAAATTGTCTCAGTGCTGCTGCCCAGGACAAGCAACAGGATCACATACACAGTAATGATGGCCTCTGGCAACCTCAAAACAGCAGCTGTGGTTGCCTCCTGATATTCATGCCAAGTTACAGCAAGTTAGCAGCAAACTGTAAGCTTCTCTTGTGGGTTAGGCAAGTATTTTTCCATCATTTAACTGTCTATGCCTAGGAAAGAAATAAAGGCAGGCATGAGTTTTCTCTGGAGATACTTTTATTTATTACTATTATTTTCATGAAATTAATACAGTGAAACTAAGCTGAGATCAGGGTCAGTGAGGGCAGGGTCAGTGTGTTACTGTCCCAAAAAGAGCTAAATACAACCCTGCCTCAAACATCTCAAACCTAAATGGAGAAAGGCTAAACGTCCTTCCAAAGGTCACTCTGCAGCAGAGCCACAGCCAGGGCAGGCTCTTGTCTCCCTCTCCTGTAGCAAAGCCACAAGAATGTGGCCTTCGCTGTCCTTTCTTCCAGCTGCCAGACTTTGTTCCTTACCGCCCATCTGGGCTAAACTCCTGCTGAGAGCAACGGCAGCTTTACTGGAGGAGGGACAGCTTTCAGCACAGCTTGAGAAGCAAAGATTTGCCTACACGCCTGTTTGATGCGCGGCAGAAGGCACAAAATACCATAGGAACTGTTGGTCTGTGGACTTCCGAGTTATGCAACTATTTTCTCTGTGGATGGAAATAATCTTGCTGTGTGTATATAAAGAGGCCAGAAGGCAGAAATAACTGTCCTGACCCAAGAGACTGCCCCTCATGGCCTTCAAGGTGTCATTAAGACACCTACAGGGCTGACGTTCCTGGGCAGCACAATACACTACAGTGGCTGCAGACAGTGCAACAGCTCAAAAATAGCATACTTACAGGCTCTGGAGGTGGTGGTGGCGGCGGCTCCTTGATCACCTGTATCACAATGTATAAGCAATGGGAGAAATCTGAGATAATGGTAGGGTTCATCCATCTCAACGCTATGTCCTCTCTGTTTTCTCACTCATATCACAGGTGAGTTGCCCTGCTCCATTCCCCCACATTCAATCCTCTCATTAGCCCCATTGCTTTTCAGATGGCATAAAATAGATGCAGATGAGAAGCTAAATCCATCACGTTGAATTATCTGATTAGTCAAGAAGTGCCCTATTAAGTAACTCATAATACAGCTCCATATTCTGGTAGTTCTGCCTTAAAAATGTCATATAATTACCAAGCTAGTGCAAAACATTCACTCAGAATCTGCAGCTCCTCAGAATAAAAAAGAAAGCCTAACTCTTGTCTTTAAAAAGGACCGTAACAGCTTATGCACATATCAGTAAATCAGTTCCATTATGCTTTTCTGCAGCAGGTTTCAAATCTTGTTCTAAGGAGGTCTCGATCACTACAGAAACTTGGGCCATGTTCACGAGCTCACTTAAACTTCCCATTCAGTGTCAAAATCACGTAAGCCTTGCAACATTCAAAAACCCAGACCAGAGTCACTTCAACAAGCACTTTAAGCAATTTGTTGAATCAGGGCCTTACAAACCTGGCAGCATTTTTCTTAAACAAAGTTAACCACCCACTCCAACCCTTTAACTCTGTGTTTTTGCAGAGAAGAGATGAAACCAAGTCAAAAGAATAAAAACCTGTACTTACCACCGTGCAGCAAAGGGGCCAGAACCACCACAGAAGAGCCAGAGCCAGCAGCAGAAAGAGAATCAGGAGAGCAATGAAAAGGATGGTCCCAGTCAGCTGCAAACGAGATGATTACTTCTGAGTTATCTGCACATGTCACAAACAAGGCAGGATCCCTGAAGTTACACAATTAGACTGGGCAAAATGAGCCAGGTTTCCCTCACTATGAGGTCTCAGGTAGATTGTGCAGTCAATCACTATTATTATCATTAGGGTCACATCAGTATTTGGTGTGACAAATCTGTATTTGAAGTCATGATTCAGGGAAGCACCTCCTGTTTGTGGTGTGTATATGTATAATTTTTATATAAATTTATGGTACGTTTACAGCCCACTAGATTAAAGGATGTTAAACTCATATATAAACCATTCCCAAATTGGTGCTGACAGGTCCCTTAATACTGTCAGAGGGGCGTTGCAAACTCCATGACCACAGACACTCAGGTGTGCAGAGTAACTTTTCACCACTAGAAATGCAGAATATGCAAATGCTGATATTCAAAGAATGGGAATACTGGAGCTAAGAGCTTATGGGTAACTGTTCGCATGTCAACATCGCAGAACGGATCACAACTTACTCGCTCAGCCTCATCAGCTCCCAAGCCTGCCTGTATTGCCTCTTGACTCAAACTGCACACACAACCCCAGCCTGAGTGATTATGCAAACTAGTCCTTAATGCTGCTGGTTCTTTGTATGCTTCCTAGTGCTGGTTTGACTGTTTTTAATGAGATGCTGTAATCATGATCTTAAGCATTTCCGATTCCTATATTCCATCTATTTCTCTGCAGAGAACAGTGGGACTCTGGGGCTGGATAGCTAAGGGTCTACATTCAAAATCAAAGCTAAATTTTCTTTAAAATTTCTAGAATCCAAAAGATTTCAAGTGTTAACACTTGAAATTAGCTTTTCAGAGCAGCCAGGCAACCAAAAAGAATCACAGCTCTGATTTTCCTGGGTAAATCTTGATAGATTCTTTGCACTCAGAGCATTACATGTCAGTGTGTTCAGAAGAGGTATTAACTCTGTGTATTGCTCTGATGACTACAGAAAAGCAGGTCTTCATGCTGCTTGGCCCCTGCAGAACATAGAGCACATGGCTTTTTGGAAATTAAACATTTGTTGCAGACAGGCAGTGGCATGCTGGGATGTGCCGTTTCCTTGGACTGCACTGGGCTCTGGGATGAGGTTAAGACTAGCTCTGGTGCTCCAGCCATTTATTTTATATTGGGAAAAGAAACCTCTTCAATGGTAGATTTTCCGAGTTTGAGAAGAGGTTCAATTCACCAGCAACAGGGGTACCAGACAACAGGCAAAACCTGGCAGCAAACTAGAGAAGAGCCTGGGACTAGGAAGATGTGAAAAGAGCTTGAAGAAAGGTCTGTGAAGCAGGCTGAGGGAATAGGAGCTGGCTAGAGAGGAAGCTGTAAGAAATTTTCAAAGAAGGATAGGTGGGAGGATAAATGGAAAGAAAGCAAATTCCAAAGAAGATTTATGGAGGATGAAGTCCATGAGATTCACCTTCTTAAATCTGAAACTACTTGCTGAATTCGCATGACACCAGAAAGTGATGCTTAGCCCCTTCTTACAACAGGAGTTGCCTTCACTGTTCCAAGTGGGTTTGTTTTCCCCTCAGACAATGAAAAGGCTGAGGATGGAAAAGAAAATACCAGCTGGTAAAAGCTTTGCACAGTCTGGGTGAGATCCCGAGTGGCTGACTTGTGCGGTACCTAGTTCCTTCTCAGGCCAAATCCTAGAGCTGTCAGGACTGACATGTTCAAGACAGAACTAACAACCACGGCTCCTACTCCATGCTTTTAGGCAGGTAGCCCAGTTTCCCATATCTCTGTGTCACAGCACCACCATCCCTCCACGGCTCTGTGGCTTCTTGTTATAGATGCAAACTGACCTGTTTTGGGATACACTATTTAGCTCACCTCATTCATTTGGTCAGGGAGCAGCTGAAAGCCAAGGCGGAGTGCTGCAACACGTGCCAGACCCCCTGCTCAAAGGAGTCCTGTTAGAAGACACACTACCTGGCTGCGGTTCAGTGCTGCTGCCGCCCCCCTCTCTGGCCCTCCCATGGCCCCATGTAGCACTAACGCATCTGGAAAGCAGACACGTGGGCAGCGTGAATTCCCAGTGAAGTCAGTTTGCTGAGAAAAGGATGAGTAAAAGTCAAGCATAACTTTAAGAGGTATTGCCGCACTCCTTAAAAACAAGTCCAAGCACAGCACCAATGCAGTGCATGAGCCACAGATGCACATACCACTGCTACTATTACTCCAAACACACATTACCTCTTTGTTTTGTAGCTTTTGTTCCCAGGCGTTGCTTCTCCCATGCTAAGTGCTCATATAAATCACTGAGACATTTGCTAGCAGCAGCTCGGGAGCTGCTGGCAGCAAGAAGCTAAAGAGTTCTCTTTTAATGATTAAATATACAAAGCATCGTAGTGAAGCTGGAATTTGAAAAGGAAATAGCAGACTTCATGCAACTGAACAGAAATAAGCACAGGGATCACACAGAGGCTTTAGGAGTAAAGTGAAGAGAAGATACTTACTGTACAGAAAGGACAGAAGGGCCAGCTGGGGAGGAGAGCTGAGCAGGCCAGCTAACTGCCACCCACAGAAAAGGAAACGGGAGAGGAAAGGAAATGGAGGGAGTCTCTAAAACGAGAAGAGCGAAATGCGTGAAATTAAGACAAAGTTGGAAACTGAACTGCCAACCTCCCTGCTTATGGGATATAACTGGAGTGAGACAGTCTCTTTTTTTTTGTACCAGCTGAGAATCAGTCTCCCTGCCTCCTTCACATTCAATCTGCAAGAGGCTGGTCAAAAATTGTCAGATTGACAGGACTGGAGATTGGATCCCTCTCTTTATCCTAAGGCTACTGAGAGGAAAGCTTCCTCTGTCCGTGTTCTGGCCTGTAGGAAGCCCAGCTAGGGCTAAAACTTCAGTCTTCATCAGAAGTAAGTTACATATGGGTAACTAAATGCACCAGTTAACAGTTGTGTTTCACTGCAGACTGAAAAGGTTTTATAGTACCTGAGGTAGAAGAGAGAATAAAATGTGAAAATATCAGTCTTCAGTGTAGGAGATTTGGAGGAAAGTTTTGGAAAAATAAAAATAATCAGGTGAAGCAGCAAACACATCTCTGCCAAATTTTAAGTCCCTGTACCCTGGACTGTTCCAGCAATCTGGTGTGAGATTTCCCAGCTTCATTGCTGAAAACATCAGATAATCAGATTTGCAAGTTCCAGTCACTGCCTCTATCTTCATTCCTGCCCCTCTGTTCTGCAGCTGTCAAAAAGGCCAACAATGATTACAAACCAATATGACAGCATTTGGTGTAGGCTATAAAAGTCCTTTTGACACTAATAACAATAAAGCTCAACTTTGATACAAAGTGTTTGCTATCAGGTACTTCAGCAAACCTGTTTAGTGCACAAGCACAAGGCCAAATCTTCAGCCACCATACTTGCCTGCACCGGCGATGGGCGTTACCTATTTTTACTCCAAGGCAAGGAAGACGACTGCCTATCTAGTAGTCAGCTTCTTCATTTTGATTGTTTTAGTGCACACACAAGGCCAAATCTTCAGCCACCATACTTGCCTGCACCGGCTATGGGCGTTACCTATTTTTACTCCAAGGCAAGGAAGACGACTGCCTATCTAGTAGTCAGCTTCTTCATTTTGATTGTTCGATTCTAAAATCAGATTTTGATAAAGGATCACTTCTAGCTGTCGGTCCCTGACACGCCACCTGGGGATAGGTGGTCTTTTTGACCAGGAGAAGGTCATATCGCAGCCATCGCTGTCCTGCAGCAGCACATTCTCCCTCGGCTGACCTGAGCAGCAGCCTTTTATCAAGAAGCTCATCCCGGGATCTGAGGCTGCTATCCCTTTCTGGTCATGCCCTGTGACACCAAGAGAAAAGCAACCAGCTCCTGTCACTAAAACTGTAGAAATGCCTTAGCGAATCCTGAACTAGTAAAGACAAATTGTGGTGCTTTAAAACAAATGCTGTAAGCTCCAACCAAAAAATAACCATGTAAATTTAGAGGACCTTCCATGCTGTGGCCCTTCCAGATCCAAGTCCTGGCAGCTGCACCTTTCACTCCAGATCCTATGAGGGATCCCAAAGCTCAACAGCCTGTTACTTCCTGATGCTCCTTCCCTCATTTTCCCAGATTCCCTTCTAGTCAGATCGTAGCTTTGAGGATCTCCCTTTCCTGGGACAGGAATGGGCAGGGTGCCTTTTGTTGTAATTTTTTATTCAGTAAATCTATCATGATCCATGCATCATCAGTAACAATTTAATCTTAACTAGCTCTGGTTATTTTTCAAAGAACTGCTGGGATCCAGTCAATAACTGTGATGCAGGAGCTGTAGAGAGCTCATGCTCACTCAAGGAGGCTTTGCCTGAAGAGCCACCGTCTCTTTCCAAGATCTCATGGTTTCTCTGTCAAGCCCCATTGCAATTACTTACACACTGTGTGCTGGTGATGCTGACAGAGCTGGAGATGAACGTTAGCCCGTTGTTCATGCTGACTTGTAGGAAAACCACCCTAAAGCACAAAACAGATACACTTTTTTTTAATGTCATCTTTATATCCATTGTTCCCTTTATTCTGGCTGTGTTTTAGCCATTGGCTCATGAACACGCATGGATAAAATGTCCTGCTGATTCAAGGCATTTTCATGGCCTCAGGTGCTTACCTGCATTTGTCTCTCTGCTTGCCCAAGAGCTACCCTTTTTTATGTTGGCTTAATTGAGTTGGGGCATATGCTCTTTATTAAAAAACCTCCATCCCACCTGGGGCAAAGGGCACTAGGACAGTGAGTCATAACAAAGTCTCAGACATTTGCAATACTACCCTAGATAGCACAAGAAACTTTAAGGCTTTTTTTTTTTTTTTAAACCCCTTCTGCAGCTTAAAGAGCCAGAATGTGTTTTCTTTTATATCCAAGTAAATCCAGAATACCTGCACTAAGGTCAAGGGGTTAAAAACACTGAAATGACAGTGAAATTAAAGAAGAATCTGGCCCTAGACATTTTCCAATATCCAAGAAAGCCATCCTCCAATATCATCTGAGGAAAAAAAAAAAAACCAAACCACAAAAAACCCCAACAACCCACCGACCAAAATAACCCACAAAAAACCCCACCAAACAGCTTTCCCTTACCCACAAATAGGAAAGGGGAGGGAGGTACTCCCCCTCACCCCCAGTACGGTATTTAGGCACCCACAAGATCACCCAGGGGGAAGGTAGGGCCTTGTGCCATATCTCCCAGGAGTCTGCAGGATTACAACAGCTGAAAAATACCAACACTAGCCAGAGCAGGGCAAAACACAGGAAGCAACATCTACAACAGCAGAAAGGAATTCAAATCAAGCATCTCTTTTCAATCAAAATGAAAAGTTTGCCTGGAATTCAACTACCTTTTGGTCTGAAAAAAACAGGATATAGGAACAGAGGAGAAATCACCATTCTATGATTCAATGACACGGGACCACGGTCCAACAAGGCCTTTGGTTAAGCTGTGCTAAAGACCCACCATTGAAGAGAGCTATGCTGGTTCATACTAGGAGAGGATTTAGCACAAAGGGGATGGAGGTAATCCTGCCACGCACACAAATTTATTAGCCTGGCTCAGTAATGACATTCTCATCCAGAAGTCCGCTCTCTCGACACGTGCTGGAAAGCAATACTTACTGTCCAGCATCTTCTATCACTGGGGCAGGACAAAGTAAGTAAGTATCATGAACAAGGGTCGGCTTTTCATCTGAAAAGAAATTAATATAACTGTCAGGGATGAAAAAGAGAAATTGTCCCAACCAGGCCACCCCCTGGAAAAGCACTGACACCAATGAGAGCCACAGATAAATTCAGTATATAGGCAAGTACCAATATTCCCCAATGGTACTGATTACAAATCAGTAATAGGATGACCATTCTTGTTGATGCCAATATAATGTTATCAGGCTAGAGATACCACAGCTAAGAAATGGAAGTACATGTTTGTTTCTGACAGCAGTGATCAGCCATTTTGAAGCCAGTTTTGAGCAATATTCATCTTGTCTATCTGACAAGCGCATGCAAACTCTACTTATACTGAATACTCTGATCCCACAAGTTACTCAAGGGGTCAAAAGTATAGGGTTCAATTTTTGCCTACCCACTTCCAAACACATACACACAGGAGAAGCCAAGGCTGCACTGTTTGAGCCCAGGGAAAAGGAAGAACTGAGACGGGGTGGAGCCGAAGTGGACAGACACCAGAGGAAAAGAAAAAACTCATGGCTGGTCATACACAGGAGACGGGCAGAGAGGGGCCATGACTAATGTTACTGTGAGGACCTGTCCTGCACTAGTTGCTGCTTTTCCCATCCCCAACCTCCCCTCTGTGGCAGCATCATCTAGAAGCAGCCCATGTTTATAGAGGTCTGATGCAGGCAGAGTCAAAAGCAAGGTCATGGGTGTTTTTCTGCCTCCCTGCACTCTGCTGCTCCAAGAGTCAGCAGTGCTAATCCTGTTGCTTTCAAAAGCCACATCCAGAAAGCCAAGTCCCATGAACACAGAGAAGAGGCTCAGCAGTAATCCTGCAATGCCACTCCACTAAAAGTGCATAAGCTGAGGCACAAGAGCAGACAAGTCACTGCTGTGACCACACCTTAGCTCCAAACGGCCCGAAGCAGCTAAGGTGCTAGTCCAGAGAAAGACTGGTTCACAGAAGTCCAACCCAAGTGAATTAGGGGCTGGTAAAAAAAGCTGCCAGCTTATTTAAGCCTTAGAGGCTTGATTACTCTTTCTACCTAGGAAAAAAAATTAACTCGAGCAACAACAGATAGGAGAGTTGTTCTTTCATGCTTCACCCACCCCAAGCACACCTGAAGACAAAGCTCATTCCCCTGTTTTGGCAGAGATGAGACCATGGAAATTCTAGTGATATGTTTTAGGGCCAGCCTGAGGGGAAAAAAGCCAGCCAGCATAGATCAGCATCTCATCGCATCTGTTGCAGACCTAGCCCAAGGAGAACACAGCACGGAGGAGATGTGGAATTAGGGTAGTTTTCCTCCTGTGTACTTCCAGGTCCAGGTCAGCACCCACTGTGTGAAGTCCAGTCAAGGTGCCAGTGCATTAGGGACAAGGAAGAAAAAAAACCAAAAGTCTGTCTACCTGGTAAACCACAAGAAACAAATCCCTGGCAAAGGGCATCTGTAAGTGGAATGAGAGCAAGACCGCCAGAGTTTATTTAATGCAGCCTCCACGTAGGCAACTAGGATGGGAAATGAAGGAGCAATTCATGTGCTCCCTCTTGTAAGTGAATTTACTGCTAGGGAAGGCACCAGTCTGACCGCGACAGGATATGAAAGCCTCTACTGTGCTCAGCCAACAAGGGCAGCGTATACAGAAAAGGAGCAAAGCTCCCCTCCCCACGCTGTGCTTCACCCTGCCAGACATACACTGCTTCTCAGGAATAAGAGAGGAGTGCCGAGAAACTGGACCCTCAATCTTTTTTGGCCATTCAGTCCTTTGCCTGGCTGCTGAGACAGCAAACAAAAGACCCTGTTTAGCACAGCAATGGCAGGGAGTTTCGGCGTTACATGCTCGCTGCGATGAGACCAGCAACTGGCATCAGAGAGGAACAGAGCAGGCCTGGGAGGGCCCTGCTTTATGGTGAGCGTCTCCTGAGTTGGTGAATAAAGAGTCTGAAGATACCACCAGAGGATCAAGATAGCATTATTTCTTTTTCACTGGTGATGAACAAGGGAATAGGGAGCAATTTTATTTCTCCCTCTTAAATCCTGATACCCAGACCTCACTGGCTGTATGCATCACCCACGTACACCATTACAATGATGCTGAAATTCATTGTGCAGCAGCACACCCCACATCAGCCCTCACGACACAATGCCTACAGGTCACAGGGTTGAATAAAGATGCATTTCAAGCTTCTGTTAGGTGTAGATCCCTACTAGCTCCCCCCACATCCACTGCAAGGACTCCCCCCACGTGGACGAGAGGTGGGTTGTGTCACCTCTGTCACTCATGAGGTGACACAGCCACAGGGGGCACTGGAATACACCAGCCTGCAAACTTACTGATAGTAAGGCTGTCATTGAGCTTGAAGCTGCAGAGTACCTGGTCGATATTTCTTGCATGATAAAAGCCGTTGCCTCTTACCACAACTTGAAATGATTCTGTAAGTAAAAATACAGAAGAGTAATGAAAAATAGCTCAAATACAGTGTTTCCTTCCAGAGTGATCTGAATTACAACATGACAATGGCTGTTCTCTGCCCTATGCCTGAAACAAAACATTCACACTGACACTCTCAATATTCAGCAGCAATGGTCAAGAGTGCTATAGTGGCACTGGTGCTTCACAGAGCAACGTTCATCTCAAGGTAGCTCCTGCAAGCATCCCATTGACCCCCAATGCCTTAATTAAAGGTGCCACAGTAATACTGTGAGCCTGACATGGCTGATGTCATTTCACAGTTCCTCCATGGCTTTTGGGCCAGACACATTTGCCAACCATAAGCACCAGTCCTTCCTCCATTTTCCACAGCAGATTGCACTTAGCTTTCAGCAGCAGCTCTGTTCAGACAGATGCCGACAAACAGGACTCCCCTCATAACCCCCATGTGAATCAGAGAGGAAGCTTTGCATCTGGTACAAGTCCTGGAAAAATACAATCTTTCAGTCCATACAAGAACTGAGCCTGTGCACAGCCCCGTTAGCATCTGCTGCGCGTGGGAATAACTAAAGACCCAGGTGCTGCAATTTTCTTTGTGCTCTTCCCCCACACCACTGCCCCAGCAGCAGAAGCCACCAGTGGCACAAGAAGAGACCTGCCACATCAGACACACTGTCTGCTGGCCAGAGCAAACACTCCCAAACCTGCCCTTCAGTTGCTCTCAACTTCTGTTGCTTCAGAAGTGATGGCGGGGAGGCCACCTGTGGTTTTTGTCATTACTGCGATTCGTTCATTCAAACAGGAAAACCATTGTCAGTTTTTTCAGCCAACCTTTCAATGGTCTTTTTACTGACAGAGCAGTTTCACATCTGAGTAAAGCCAACCTAGGAAGGCTGCTGTCAGAAGTGAGATCCCAAATGCACACACCCTCCACCGTTGGCACCACTGATCACGTTGCAGCGCACTGAGCTTGCTCACACACCTGAAAAGTAACCCTCTGTTTGTTGCCAGAGAGATCAGTAAGGTGATCTGCCTGGTTGAGCATCTGCTGGGAATAGAAATGTGCAGGAGAAGGGAAGGGACAGAGACAAGTGGTGGTAGCATCAGGTGAGTTTACATCTATTGTGAAACCCCCTTGAGTCAGTGTACCCAGGACAGTTAGAAACAGGAAAGGTAATTTGTGGAAGAAGGTATTAAGAAGCCTGGTTTGGTTTCTCAGCTTCTCCACAGCAAGCTTTTAAAATTATTTCTTAGTAACCTATATGGGTAACACTTCTTGGAGCTCTGATAACAGCACAACACAACTGTTTGTTGCTCTTCCTTCCCTTTTACTTTACACAGGTGGAGCCCGACACCGAGCCGCAGTCTCCTTCCTCTCGGGGCCAGCCTGAATTGCCAAGCTAGGCACAGGTTGCACCAGGAGGGGAAATGGCAAGGGAAACTTCCCTCTAGGTCACAAAATGCATTGTAGCTGCTACACTAACCGCAGATATAACATCTTTAGCACAGACATCTTTAGACACATTGCAAATTTGTTCTGTGCCAAATGTGTTTTTGAAACTCCCTTTGATGCTACAGGCAAGAAGCCAGCTGATGGCTGAGACCCACGGCACACAGCAAGGGAAAGCCCAGAAGAAGCTGCACTTTCACACATAAATCTCCTGCTTTAGCTGAATCCTCCACAGAGCTCACTTATACCAGCTGCTGAGCAGCATTTGAGACCAGCCCAATAGCAGGGGGAGACCAGCACAACACAGGACCAAATAATCTTCAAGCTACACATAGAAAAATAAGAGTAAACTGCATAGAAGTTCTCCACTAGCAGCAAGTAAAGCCATGAACAAGTCCACATGCGTTATCAATATACTTTGACCAACATACTAAAAATGAAAGGAAAACAATGTTGATAGCACTGTGGGGAGCGGTACCTAATTTTTAGTGATATGAGACCTGGCTTTTGATAACATCTCACATGATGCACTGCCATGTTATTTGTATGCTTTGGAGGAAGGACTTGTAATTGGCCTACATGAGGCCCAAAAGTGGCTGAAAGACATAGTCTGCCTGCTCTTCACTATCAAGTTACTTCAAGGCAAGCTAGCATGAGGATGTGGAGCGCTTTAGCTTTTCCATACAAACAGCTTGCTCTTGCCAAAAACACATTCTCACTACATAGAGGTCTAATGCAACTCCGGGTGAACTGGACAAGGCACGGACAAGTTACGATCAAGCGCTGGAAACCCACACTCTGGTTTTCCTCATAGTAACCTTCCCTTAGAGCAGTGCTCTGAACTGACACAGGCTGCAAGGAACATGGAAATCAGAGAAGATATTTTGGGAGGGGAAAAAGAAAATATCTACTGGAGTGCATATTAAAGTGAAACACATGCTTTGGCACTTTGCTGAAGAAAGATGATCAAATTTGAGACCTCACTGAGCACATCAAGAGCCAAACAGACAAAGCCAGCATCAGAATTTGGCCTCTCTTTTAAGGGAAGGGTTATACCTCCTGGTTCCCACGGGGGGTGGAGGGCACTCCTTTAAACAAATAAAAATGGACTGTAGGGCAGATTCAGCTGCTTCTTACTCCAGCAAGAATCTGGAGTTACTCTGATTCATGCCTTGAGCCACTCCACATTTAACCCAGCTGATATGTTGAGAGTTATTCTTGATAAGCATCCCTTTTTTTGCCAGCAGAGCTGAGTGTCACGGCCAGCCCCAAGGGCAACCAGGCCTCTGCCCCTGCCCCAGAACTACCTGCCTGGGACCACGCATTACCCCAGACTTGCTTGTAGCCAGCCCACTCCACAGTGACCTGAACACTCAACTAAGATAACTTCTGTCTCTCAATTCTCTATTATAAAAGTAGCTTGCTGAAATAAAATTGCAGGTAGATTTTTTTTCTTCCCCTCTCCTGAACGGACAGTCTTAAAAGGCAGCATCCACAAAAGCTGAATTGATAGCTATTGCAGTGGCTTTAAAAAGAGGCAGTAAGTAAGAGACTTTCAACACAAAACAGCAAAGGTAAAAGCTACATTTAGAAGTTTAGTCTTGTCAAGATAGTTTAACTCTCCTGCCCTTCTTTCCACCGTCACTGCCACTCTGCACAGTCAGTTGTGAATAACTGACTCTGTAGTAACCTGTCCACCAACACAAGCTGACAATATAGTCTCAATACCAGGCTTGCATGGAAATGTAAACAGCTGGTACTGGATTTGGTTGTTGCTGTTAAGAAGTCTGCCCCTTCGGATGCTCTGGAGCATTAATGTGTTCTGGATGACGGTCTGCTGAAATGGCTAATTCCATTTAATTTTGCACCCTGGCTCTGGCTGCGTCCTTTTCTTCCTTAGTTACTGTCAGATCGTAGATTGTAGCTTTTGACAAGACAGCAAAGGGAAAAAGGTCAGCACTGAAATAACCAGGCGGCGCTGGCAGCGAGATGGTAGGTTGAAGCTGGTGTGCGCTGGCTGCGCTGTCGGCTTCACTTCTGTGACTCTGATGAGAAGCTGACGGCTTGCATCCACACCTGGTAGTTGATGTGGCCAGTAGGATGCCACATCCAACAAAACCTTTCAATCACATCTGCGTACCATAAGCATAATCAAAGCAATGATGCTGTCAAACACGATATGAGGCACCTCCAATTCTGCACTGATAGCCTGTTTACAGGCTGCATGTCTCGGTCACTTTAAATCAGAGGGAACGGGAAGAACCCAACTACATTTCTCCAGATCGAGGATGATAAATTTGCAGGGTCAGAAAGCATTAAGCATCAGATAGCTGTCATAACGGGACAAGATCAGTTTGTAAATGGACTTGCCAGGTAGCTTCATCACAGAATCCCACATGGAAATCGTTTCATCAGCAATCTACTAAACCTCTGGCAAGTCAAAAATGAAGCCAAGATCACCAGTAATCACCAACACAGTGGCAATTAGGAGCTGCAAGAACAGTGACAAGGAGTGGGTCAGAGTCTGCTCTAAGCCCTGATCACAACTGGCTTCCACTGAGCAACACAAAGCCCTCATGATCTCATACCAGATTCTAAAAATTAGTAATAATGCTAAATAAAAGCCAAATTTATTATCACCCCCTCACTCAGTAAGTTTCATACAAAAAGCATGGACCGAGCCACATTTCAAGGCTGTAAACAAGCAAGCTTCTTTGCTGGAGAATGTGATAACATCTTGCACTCTTTCAAAAGGTCTACTATTTTTTGATCAAAATTTTGAAATGAAAATTTCAATTACGTATTTAAAAAAAATAATTCCTAACTTAGAAAAAAAGGAGGAGGAATGTTGCTTTTCTAGAAAATGTTATGTTCTAATTTTCAGCCAGTTCTAAATGCAGGTGTGTATATATTTTTTACACAGGATTCAATGGCTATATATCTTACCTATACATTATCAGTAAACTACATTAGTAATTACCGAAATTTAAAATGCATTAAAATTCTGAGATGACTTCATAGGCTTCAGTACTTTTTGCATTAAAGTCCAAATAAAGTACATTAAAAAAATAAATCACATTACATAGAGAACTATATCTGACTGTCCAGTGAACTGGATTCAGGATCTGGATTCACACTACCATGAAAAGTGTTGTTCAATCCCAGGAGATTCCCTCCAGGAGACAGTGGTGCACACAGCTGAACCTCTGGCTATGGTGAAGTAAGTGTGATAATAAAGGACAATAAAGCCAAGCACAAGTGTAAGTATTTGCAGCCTCACACTGTAAAACCTCTCGCAGGAGTTCATTTCAGGCTTGCAGGACTAGACTCATAATAAAAGCCATTACAGGCCTGCTTCTGGGTGCTAAAGACCATTTAACACGACAGTATGCACCATTCGGAGCTGCAGTTTTGGCTTCCTCCTATTTTCAAGCTCCCTGCTGCTATAAGCAAACCTTCAAGCACGTGAATCCAAGCCTTCGTGCCCGGGTGATTCAGCACCACGCTTCACCGTGTGCCAGCCTTTGCTGGACGGCTTTGTCAACAGGGACAGAACAAACCTCAGAATTTAAGTGAAACACAAGTGCCGGTATTTTGCTGAATCAGCAGCAATACACAGAAACTGGTTCTGCCTGATTTATATTGATCTTATTTGAAAGCCACAAAGACAACGAAAAACTTTTACAGATGCAAATAATGCAACAATTTTTTTTTTTTAA